AAGAAAATTTTTGAGATCTTGGGTCAGGCAAAAATTTATTTCTCACAGTTTTGGAAGCGGGAAGTCAGACATCAAGGTGTTGGTAGGTTGAGTTCTGTCTGAGACCTCCTTCCTTGGCTTGCAGATGGCCACCCTCTTGTCACCCTTTCTTGTGCATGTGCACCCCGGGTCTCTACACCTAATCTCCTCTTCATAGAAAACACCAGTCAGATTGGATCAGGGCCCATCCAAACAGACTCATTTCAACTTAATTTTCCCTTTAAAGGTCCTGTATCCAAATATAGTCCCATTCTGAGGACCTGAGGGTCAGGGCTTCAACATATGAATTCAGGAAAGAATAGTTCAGTCCCTAAAACTTGGGGACGGTGCGGGGAGCAGAACGGGCATGAGGAAACTTTTGGGGATCACAAATACATTCACTGCTTTGATGGTGGTAGGGCTGTTTCCAGGTATATACATACTGTCTATGTATATACAAATTGTTTAACAAATTGTACAATTTCTTTTCTTTTCTTTTCTTGAGTTGGAGTCTCGCTCTGTCGCCCAGACTGGAGTGCAGTGGCTGCTCCCGGCCACCGCAGCCTCGACCTGCTGGGCTCCGGCCATCCTTCCGCCTCAGCCTTCCAAGTAGCTGGAACTACAGTCGTGCGCTACCACATCCGGCTGATTTTTGATTTATTGTAGAGATGAGGTCTTGCCAAGTTGCTCGTGTGGGTCTCGAGCCTGCGGGCTCAGGCAAACCACTCATCTCGTCTTCCCAAAGTGTTGGGATTACAGACTGAGACATCAAGCCCAGCCAAATTATTCATTTTAAATATTTAGTTTATTATGGGCAAATTATACCTTGATTTTAAAAGGAAAAAAATAATATCATCCAAAAAAGATAAATCTGTTGCTGTGATCCCTTAGTTTTAGATTGTTCCAGAAGCAAACTAAATATCAAAACTCAGGGCAGGTAAGGGTGGGCCAGCAGAAATTGGCTCCACAGTGGAGGCTGGGACCCAACTGACATGCAAGACTTCACTGCGGGCACGGAGGGTGAGAGCACGAAGCTTCTAGAAGACGGGAAAAGGCCAGAGAGGGCAGTGCAGGGGTGGAGGGCTCTGCCCTGCTTCAGAGAGCCAGACATCCTGGGCTTCCCAGAGGGGCCGCCAGTTCGGTGACCCCCATCACTCAAGAACAGGCGGCAAGGAACTGAGACTCAGAAAAGAGGGAGGGTGGTCCAAAGAGAGAGAAATGCCATCGAGCGTACTAAGCTGTGCCACACAGCATTAAGCTGATCACTGCAAGTTGCCTCTTTTGCTGACTCTTCAGAATGCCTCACATAGTAATTAAGTAGATTTTCTTTAGAAAAGAATTTGTGTAGTGTCTGGGAGGCTAGACAGAGTCTTGGATGTCAAAGAAGGATCTCCTTATTCCTAGGTGGGAAAGACTGAGGGTCACACCCAGAGCTGGGCTGGGCATAGAAGGGGTGAACTGTGTTCTGCTTTGTATATTTAGACACACAGGCTTCAACCCCAGAAAGGACAGCCACAGCATCAAATCCTGAGACGACCACCAGAACCCTCACCAGGTAAGCAGACTGGGTTCTGCTGACTCCCACTGGCCTGACCTCATGGCCTGTCCTCTAAGAGGACTGCCAGACACAACACGGGATGCCCAGTTAGGTTGGAACTTCAGACAAACAACGTAAAAAAATTCTCAAAAGTGTGTCCCAAATATTTTGTGGGTATGCTTATACTAAGAAAGTATATATTGCTTATCTGAACGTCAAATTTAACTGAGGATCCAATATTTTTATATGTTAAAACTGATAACCCTATCTTTCGAGGGTATTCAGGCTGGGGCCCCCATAGGGCCCCTCTGATGTGTCTTTGTGTCAGTAAAGTCACTGCCAAGTCTGAGATGAGCTTCCCCAACCTTGGTTTACCTTTGAGTAATATAAGATTTCCCATCGAATCTTTGGCTATTTGAAGGCAACATCTCCTGGGTAGCAGGAGAAGAGACCGAACATGGACTTTTGGCCTCTCTCCTACATGCTAACCCCAATGGCCAGCGTTTGACCTCTAGTGGGCTAGGAGAGACACCTCACTCGCCTGCTCCTGGCTCCTGCCCAAGAACAAATAGAGTCTTGATCTGCCTCTCCCCAGGTACCTGTCCAGAGAGAGGAAGTGGGGAACTGTAAGTTTGGCCTCATCACCCCCAAGCTGGCCGAGGAGTATGAAATACTAGTCTGGTGCTAACCACCCCTGAGAGTGTCTAGAGGAAGTCTCCAAAGGTGCACACCTGCCAGCTAGCCTGGTTTAATTCACAGGGCCTGCTATGCTCAAGCCCCCAGCAAAGGCCAGAGCCAGAACCGCAGACATCCCTGCGCCAACCAGATCCCGACACAGAGGTCCATCTCACCGGCTCCTTTCTCCCAAATTGCTCCTAAGGCTTTTCTAGTTCCCTCTCTAGCCTGACTCCCTTCCTTTCATTCACTCGATCTTGATTTACACAAGCGTGTCTGAAGAGCTCTACCCACAGGGGTTGCTTTGGGCCTCCTTTCTTTGATGGTTTCTTTTTGTCCCCGCCTCTGTGTTTTTGTGCAAATGGTGGGAATTTTAGCTGTTAGGAGACAGAGGGCCAGAGACTCCAGAGACGCAGTGGGAGAGCTCCAGAGAGGATGGAATCTGGGAAAGGACCTTTGGGGGCATTTTGACCCACCTCTCCTCCGTCTCCCAGGAATACGCTCCATCTCATCTTAGGACTCATCCAGCATTCTGGAGGTGGATCTTCTTTTCATTTTTCAAATGTATCCGAGAGCCGAGAGTGGCCTCAAGTTGGGTTGAGCGAATAAGCAAGGATGTGAACCAAGTTGGGAGGTCCAGACCCTGGGAAGGGGATGGAGGATTGAGGGGTGGAGGAGGGTTGAGGATCAGTGAGGTCCAGGCTTTACTGACCCTCAGAGAGTAACAGGAACATGAGGAACCACAGAACCAGGTACCGATCCACAGGGCAGGGAGTCAGAGTGCGAGTAAAGCACCCCAGATGTGGTGTCAGAAAGTCTTCGAAGATGTGACATCAGAACTGAGACCAGAAAGATGGGTGGGGTTTACCCAGGCAACGGTGAGGGCCTTTTGGGGAAGGAATATGTCAGAAGCCAAGGCAACAAGACAGGGAATGGTAAGCCCTTTGGACTGGCTGGAATAAAGACTAGGTGAAGGGGAGTTGTAGGAATCCGCCAAAAAGGCAGAATGGTGGTCTGCAGAAAGAACCTTGAATGCCACACCTAGCTTCTCATGAGTACAGGAAGCACTCAAAGCCTTGCCCGTAAGCAGCATGGCTGTGTCCGCCAAGGGGGCTGTCCTGGAAGCAGTCACAGGCTTGCCCTCACACAGCTCTTGGAAGCCAGGGTCTGGGCACAGAGAGAGCTGGGAAGACCTGCGACCCTGCCCTAGGAGGAAGCTCATTTCCTGTCCCTCTGTCCCCACAGGTGCCAGCTGTGCAGTGTCCACTTCCTGCTCCCGGTCCTTCTGAAGCTGCCCTTGCTCCTGAGCGTGATAGGAGCTGTCCTCTGGGTGAGCAGGCTTCAGAGAAGCTCTGGGAGTAGCCAGAGTCAGCCGGATCAAGAGAACCAGCAGCCCAGTGCTTGTTGATGCCTGTCCAGCGAGAAAGACCCTCCAACAGGAGAAAAAGAACATTTCTATCAGCAAATGCCTGTAGCTGCGAAGGCAGTGCTGGCACCGGCTCCAGGGAACAGCCCTCTGGTCCCCACTTCTGCAGCCATGCCACTCGGGCTCCGGGACTTGCCCTGGCTCCCAGCTTCTCTGCACAGACCCTGGGGCCTGACGGAGCCTTTTTCCTCCTGCGGCCTCCCACCCAGAAGAAAATATGAGAAAGGGAGGCATCTACCCCTGGGGCCCAGTCCCATGGCAGACTCATGGAATCCCAAGTCTTTGCGCTGCCTGTGATGTTAACGGACTTTGCTTTGCCTTCCACCGGGATCCAGAATTCTAACCCCGTGAAAATAGGAAAACGGGACCAAACTCTGGTAATGGGCCAGTGGCGAGTAAGACTCGAGTCTGCAGGTGAGCAGAGGTTTCTGCGATGCTGAGCCCGCTACATTTTTGCCACTTGTGGGGAAGGAAGGTCTGGAGCCAGCTCTACCTCTCGCCCTCTGGACACGCACGACTGAAGACGGTTGGACATCACATTTCTTGTAACCGAGTATCTCGGCCTTTCAATGTAGTTTTTCTTCTTCCTGTTTATTAAATCTTAGAATGTAGTCTTAAAACGGGCTTTAAAACTTCTCTCCCTTAGCTGAGGGTGGATGGTGTGAGGAGTAAATCGGTCACATGGGGCCTTGGGCCATCCCACATCCCCACTGGCAGGGAGAAGAGTGCAGGTGTGGGTGATTCTGGACTGTGGGTGTGAAGGTTCTAACGATCCTTTACAAGGACAGAGGCCCTCACAGCGCAGAGAGAGGACGTAGGGGTTAAAAGCCTCAGCTTTTAACAACAGAAAGATGTTCAATCCTATCTAACTACACTTGCTTAAGCACCCCAGGGACTAATCTTAAACCAGACATGAAGGCTCAGGTATGGAATTCTCCCACCTAGAGATGATAGAGATTACTTCAAGGCGGTATCACCGGGCTGTAGCTGAGACTGGCACTCTAGATGGACATAACTCAAGACAGTCACCAGAACGAAACAGGCACTGAGATTCCGCCTGTGTGGCTATCAGCTTTTTTTGGCGGGTCATTAAGGGCCCCATGAGCTACTTTACAAAAAGCAGCCGTGTCACTCTTCCCAGGCTCCTCTCCCTAGACTTTTACTTCTGGGCAGGACTAAAACTGAGGCCACTAGACTGCAGGGGCGGTCAGGGGCAGGAAAAGCAGCCTCGGCCCAGGAAGGCCAGTGCAGGCACAGTAAGAGGAGGCCTCCTCAGCAGGGTGGGGACACTGGAACTTTCCTTCCTGGAAGCTAGAGATGCCCGTCAGGGTTCTCCAGAGAAAAAACACCAATAGGAAGGATATATACCTGAGTGCCCACCTCAGTGTGTCCTTGTTATCAACGCATTTCATCTTCCTCTTGACTCTGTGCCATGAATGATGAGGACTTTGACGTCCCACCCTTTTCTTACCGTCCTCTTCTTGGTACTGATCTTGTTAGTGTGGCATTTTTAAAAATATTTATGGCAGGGCTCGGTGGCTCAGCCGGTAATCTCATCACTTTGGGAGGCCGAGGCGAGAGGATTGCCTGAGCCCGCGGGTGTGAGACCAGCCCGGGCAACTTGGTGAGCCCTCGGCTCTACAATTGAAAAAAGAAAATAGCCTGGCGTGGTAGGGTACGCCTGTAGTTCCAGTTACTTGGATGGGTGAGGCAGATGGATGGCTGGAGCCCAGCAAGTCCTGAGACCTGCTTGTTCCCTTTTTATCTCTCTATATTGCATTGTTCCCCCTTCATTTATTTTAGGTCATTCACGTGGTCTGCAATTTTCTTTTTTACTTTTAATTTTTTAATTTAATTTATTATTTTTATTTTTCTCTTTGTCTTTCCTTTTTTTCTTTCTGTTTTTTTTTTTGAGTTGGAGTCTCACTCTCGCCCAGGCTGGAGTGCAGTGGCATGGTCATGGTCACCACGGCCTTGACCTGCTGGGCTCAGGCAATCCTTCCACCTCAGCCTTCCAAGCAGCTGGAACTACAGGCACACACTACCACGCCCGGCTAATTTTTTAGTTTTTTGTAGAGATGAGGTCTCGCCAAGTTGTCCAGGCTGGTCTTGAACCAGCAGGCTCAGGCAATCCACTCGCCTCAGCCTCCCAAAGCTCTGGGATTACAGGCTGAGCCACCGAGCCCAGCCAATTTTTTTATTTTAAAGATGCGGGGTACACATCAGGGTTAGGTATACAAATGTTCATGATGCAGGTACCCTTGTTGAGGAGGTGTGTGCCCCCACCCTGGCAGATTCCCATTACTGCCAATCATTTTCTTATAGAATTACGATGTTTGTTCAAGGTTGCCTTATGAGTGAGAATATATGATACTCAGTTCCTTGTTACAATTATCTTGAGACTGAGTAGAACTTTTTTTTTGAGTTAGGTTTCACTCTGTTACACAGGCTGGAGTGCAGCAGAATGATCACTGCTCACCACAGTCTAGACCTCCTGGGCTCAGCTTATCCTCCCCCCTCAACCTCCAGAATACCTGAGACTATGGGTGCTCATCACCACACCTGGCTAATTTTTTGACTTTTGGTAGAGATGAGGTCTCACCATGTTGCCTAGGCTGGTCTCGAACTCCTGGCTCAAGCAATCCTCCAGCCTTGGCCCCCCAAAGTGCTGGGATTATAGGCTTGCGCTGCCACTCCGCCCAGTAGAACAATTGATAGGAAAAGATTTTGAAATGTTTCTTCTGGTATTTCCTCTCCTCATATATGCTCTTTGCTTGCCTTTTGTTTATATTCTTTTCTTCTCTTTTAACCTCTAAGCTATTGAGACGCTGCTTCCCTTCAGAATAAAACTTGCTCTTTGCCAAAGAGCAGTGTGGAGAGGGAGAGGAGGCTGGGGAGGGGCTGGGAGGTGGAACAGCCTGGGTGCAGGGGTGTGGGCTGGAAGCCGCCCCAGCCCTGAGGGCGGGAATCTGCTTGGTTCTCAGGGTGCACACAATCGCCAACTCTTCCACTGACTGTTTTGCAGTCTGTTTCTTGTGGCTTTCCCTCCTCTTTCTCCTTCATTCCCTAAACCCGAGGTCGCCTCTACCTGGGGCCTAGCCCACATACGATTAATACGCCATGCCTGCCGATCAGATCTGTAAAGATTAAAAGATTGACAATACCCGATGCTGGGTGGAGGGGTGAGGTGGGTAGATGTTTATTTACACGTTAAACGAGGACAGAAATTTTACAACCCCTTTGGTAATATCTATCCAAATGCTTTAAATGGACAAACTACTAACTCACCTGTTTTACGTAGTGTGCGCGCGCACACACACGCACACACACACACACACCCACATTCACACACACTGATTACAGTCTTTAGCCTTGGTGAAGGAAAGGAAGTGGCCAGGGAACTAGGGTAGAAGACAATACACTTTTCATGCTGTACTTTGTGTATTTTTTGTATTTCTCATTTTAAAAATTCACAAATAAATGCAAAAGTTCACACGTCTGCCCAGAGCCTCCCTCGCTCCACCTCCCCTGCCATTTGCAGGATTAAAATTAGTCTCTGTAGGTCATTTCTGCTTCCTCTGTGACCTTCTCTTTCACTTGAATGCATTGTCTGTAAACTAAGGATCATTGAACAGGCTGCTGAGGTCTATGATAAATGCTCTAGAGAATTCCTTTTTTATTTTTATTGTTTTTTGAGTCGGAGTCTCCGTTTGTCGTCCAGGCTGGAGTGCAGTGGCACACTCCTGGCCACTCCAGCCTCGACCTGTTGGGTCCCGGAGATCCTTCCACCTCCGCCTTCCAAGTAGCTGGAACTACAGGTGCATGCTACCACGCCTGGCTAATTTTTTTGATATATTGTGGAGATGAGGTCTCAACAAGTTGCCCAGGCAGGTCTCGCACCCCGGGCTAAGGCAATCCTCTCGCCTCAGCCTCCCAAAGTGCTGAAATTACAGACTTGAGCCACCACACCCAGCTCTAGAGAATTATTTATTTGACGTACATATCCCGTGCAGTGATTGCCACAATCATGTTAACTAACACAACCCTCACCACCCATGCCGGACATCAGATCCCCAGAAACAGTTCATCTTATAACTAAAAGTTTTTGCCCTCCGTCCAACAGCTATCCGACACTCCCACTCCTACCTAGAGCCTGGTAACCACCACTCTACTCCCCATATCTACGAGTTCGACTCCTTCAGTTTCCTCATGGAAGTGAGGTCATGCGGTATTTGTCATTCTCTGTCTGGTTCATTTCATTGAGCATAATGTCTTCTAGGTTTACCCTTGTTGCAGATAACAGAATTTCTTGATTTATTTAAGGCTGAATGCTATTCTGTTGTCACACGTATGTCACATATATGCATACAATAATATTAATAATAATATTCTATCATCATATATAAAATCATAATTTCTTTTATCCGTTCCTCCACTGGTAGACACTTAGGTTGATTCCATATCTTGCAACTGCGTGAAGTTGGGAAAGGAGATACGCAGGGACAAGAACGGTATGCAGGGAAAATCTGTGCGTTGGTGAGAACCCCCACACTGTCTGGACGGTAGAGGACACACCTCTGGGCGTCTGGTTTGTAGAGTATGGGGCAGTCTACGTCTCAGCCTCCACTTATACATTCATTTCAATATGTCTGATCTATGAATGTGTCTGGGGGGAAGGGGCGT